GCTCTTGATACATATGTTATATATAACCTCTATCTCAATATCGATATGGCACCCTTAGGTCCCTTTAGAATTAACACCATCCTTATATATACCTTATATGACAATAAATTACCAGGCCTGGCATACTCTGCTAATATCTGTTATCTTTGTGTAATCAAATACATATATTTAGTCAATGCTTCGGGCCCGATCGTATCGTTGATGTATTTTATTCTGGTTGGAAGTTTGAAAATGTATTAACTGAAAACTTAAGAACCGCGTGTATCAGTGATAAAAACATACAAACTCAAGATTATCCAGCAGAAGCGCATTTGTTTAATGCAACGTTCAGTGTCATCAAATAGTTAAGTTTTTTTATCGTTTTTTTTTTTTTTTTGGAGTTCTATGTCCATTTACTATATAACATCACATAACTAACCTTGCTACCATCACATAAATTTTGCTATTGTACACGTGTAACATGACATAGCGGAGTAGTGATTTGCTGAATGTTATCATTGCTTCCATTGTGGCGTCACAGATAAGTTTAAATTTTGTATGAGACTAATAAAAATGTTTTCGTGAATATTTGTACCTAAGCCATGTTATAAACAAAATTCTACAGTTTCAAAAAAGATTAAATATTTCGTCAGATATTTCCCATTTTCCCTTTGAATTCATACCGATTTTCTGTGTTTGTTCGTATGTCGAGTGTTTATGAATATGTATATTAGCCCTAAGCATGCAAACTGCACGGAAACAGGTAGAACTCTTAACCGTATCTGATAAAAGGATGTTGAATTATACATGCTCGGAACGTTTTAGGAAAGGTCAAGAATCCCTGTATGTTGTATACAAAAGAATGATTGGTCTTGCATTGATTAGACGGTCTCATTCATTTCTCCTCAAATCTCTCATCCACAGAGAACGTAATTACGTAGGAGTGACACATCAGGTAATACAAGGGCAACTTTGCACGTTTGGGATCAAACTGAATCTGAAAATAGTTACAAAGCAGCATATTTGAAATATTCACATCAAGTTGGAGGACCGAAGCGCTACTTGTACATGCTACCTACATCTCCTGATTCACAGAATGTTGACCAGTAAGAAGAGGTAGCAAATAATTGATGCCAAATTTTCAAACATACTACAACGACTTTTACTCATTTTCTGGGATTATTTCTGGTCTATATCAACACAGACAAACATGTTTGGCTTCTTGCGGTCTTGCTTTGGTGTCCTGTCTCATTAGTAATATTGCCAGCCATACGGGTATTTAAATATAAACTTTATTTATTTTACAACAATTGCGAAACAAGTTATGTCATATTGTTGGCCCGGATGTAAGCGCGCGATACGGGTATTTATTTTTCCGTTCCGGGAATATTTCACATTGATGAGTATTTATTTTTTTCTATTTCACATTGATGAGGAGCCAAAATTTATTTTTTCGAAGGAGTGCATTAAAAGTATCAATAGACAGAAATATTACAAAAGAGGTCAATCTTAAAATGAAATTTTTATTTACATAAGAACACTCAAACATTTTCTGCAACACTTGTAATAGATATAAATCTGGAAATATAGGAACGGAACATCCTTTTGACATTTTAAGTATGAAAGCAAGCCTTCGGTCTCGTATCAATAAACAGACCATAGTGTGGCTCAGAAATGTCCCGATCGGAATCTTGAATGGTTTTCTATAGATTCGCCAGGGCTTTTGTTTTGAAAGCGGTAGGAAAGCCTGTAATGATAGCCATTGTCCTATCAGGTCTGGATGTGCATCGTGCTCCGATAAGATTTTTTTGAGACAATCGGGATCGATTTCGGCGTTTGCAGCCTCCGCAAAAGTCGTGACATCGATAACATGTATGGTTAACTTAACATACAGTAAATTTATTTAATTTCAGTATCACAGGCGAAAAATTCACTATAGTTACTGTGATCTGACGAATTCAATACTGAGACTAACGTTTTGCTGTCAACAATTTATACTGATCTGATATAATGTTATTGTTAACGGCATGAGGGATCCGATCTTTGCGCCTAACATTGTTAAGTGTTTATTTGTTCTGTTAAAGTTGGATCGTTTTCTTCCATTTTATCCATTCCTCAGCTCTTGATCTTAATTGTATGAAGTTTGAAATCGCCTCTGAAATCCAAAGTGGTCATCTTTCGTCCTTTTATTTTTATCGGTACCAAAAGGATAATTGCACAAATAGGGACCAAGGAAACCTTACTATGAAATTTAAAACAGATCCATCCAGAATTTCGTAGGAAAAAAGATGAAAATAATTGTTTACGGACGTAGGTCGATTTGATGATGTAATAATCTGGGCTATATACCAAAACCAACAATCCAGCCCCCGAAAAAAGAAAAGTCGAGAGAATCGAACAAATATCAAGTGATTACACTGTGGTTGCTTCCCTCTCGCACGTTTCCCCCAATTATCTTAGCTGTAACTAGTCCTCTTGTGACACCGGTCAACACTAGAGGGAGAAATGTGTTGTCTTTCATAATTAATTTAATGACCCTTAACGTATGTTCTCCGCTGTGATTAGGTCAATCGCATTACAAATACGAAAGGGCTTGGTCATCTAATTAGACATATAATACTGAATATTACATGATAAAGGAAAGACAACGATGAGACGAATGCTGATTTATACAAGAATCTTCCTAATTAAAATCACAAAATTGTAATAGATTTCGATTTCAAAGGATTTCTTTTTATCAATACATATACATACAAAGACCTAAATATGCACTGATGATTTGCATTAACAAAAGACTAATATTTACTTGGATAGAAAATTATTTCTTAAAGATTTCTTCTCCGTTTGATATTGACATGATTCTGAGATTATTTCATTGTATACCTTATTATGACTATATATGAACTTTCTCATTGGATTTCACTTGAAGTTTATGAATAATCGGTTTTGAAGTTTAATGTTAGGATGATTTTCCATAGACGTATGTTTTATCAAATCTTGCATGTTTTTTTTCTGTGATAACACCGACGTCTCTATAAGCGAACCATGACACGTGACATTGTCACGTGAGAACTGCAAGAAGATCTTAAGTGATAATGTTGTTTGGTAATGTAATGATACCATCATATACAACACTAGGTTAACACTTAATGGGTGCTTTTCACTTGTGCATCTTTTGTATAAACTTCAAAATTGTAGGTGGTAGACACTGCTGATGGACTTTTAGTCCTTGAAGTTTAACGTAATCTGCAAGTCCCCGAGGTTTGACTTAATCTGCATGCAACATTTTAATTCATTCGAATGGTGTCACGGTCAGAATATACATATGTACTTGACGTATTCTAATAACATAAGATATATGAATGTTTTATTGTTTGGCTTTACTGTATCCCTAATAATATTCGCATTGAAAGGTGTTTGCATGTCTTTTGTACAATCTTTTAGTGCTATCATACTGAAGTCGAAGGCCTCTAACAGGACATCATACCTGGCCATATCATACTGAAGTCGAAGGCCCCTAACAGGACATCACACCTGGCCATATCATACTGAAGTCGAAGGCCTCTAACAGGACATCACACCTGGCCATATCATACTGAAGTCGAAGGCCCCTAACAGGACATCACACCTGGCCATATCATACTGAAGTGAAAGGCCTCTAACAGGACATCACACCTGGCCATATCATACTGAAGTCGAAGGCCCCTAACAGGACATCACACCTGGCCATATCATACTGAAGTCGAAGGCCCCTAACAGGACATCACACCTGGCCATATCATACTGAAGTCGAAGGCCCCTAACAGGACATCACACCTGGCCATATCATACTGAAGTGGAAGGCCTCTAACAGGACATCACACCTGGCCATATCATACTGAAATGGAAGGCCCCTAACAGGACGTCACACCTGGCCATATCATACTGACTACGAGAAAACCATAGTTACAATAACAAGACACTGAACGTTAAGCAGGAAGTAAATGTTACCAATTCTTAAGACGGGGAGTCTGGGAGATAACCCAAAGCATTCTTCATAGTGACTCTAAACTAAAGACAAAAATAGAGCCAAGGAAAACATTAGGAAGAAAGATCTTCAGTAAAAGGAGGAAACATAAAGATTCCATGTTTAGTCTCCTATGATAATGTACCACGGGAACAAATCTTACGCCCTCCTTACAGCGCATAGAGAAATGCAAATCTACTAGGATACAAAATTCGAAAGTATTTTATATATTTCGTAGAACAAAAACTACAAAACTATGACTTTTTGGAAATTCACCAACTCATCAAAGAAAGGACACAATTTCATTATCAAAAGTGTTTTATCTCACACCCCGCTTTTCTATAAAGTATTAATTTGTCAGAACTTCAAACAACATACCAGATAATCGAACATTCACCTAAATGCAGAAAGAAATTGTTCATCAGTCACGCCTACCCTTTGCCGAATAGTCGGGACTCATCTGTCTTAAACATGGATGATTCTTTATTTGTTTGGAAGTTTCTGCTGAACTACTATTATTTGTCTGTCAGGATTAGTTTGGAGGCAATTTATCACACTTCCGCTAGAAAAGCCACGTGTCGATGTTAGGTACAGAGTGGTAATTTGCCGTAAGTGACTTCGACAGAATGATTATTACACCATCAAACAAACACTTAAGCGCCATTGTGATATAGTATAGCAACAAAACGTCAACACAGCATATCTGTTTTACCAAGGATCACCTGAGAGCATTAACAATAACAATTATTAGCACTAGAAATTACTTTAGACACAGTAAGGAACATACTACAAAGCGGTTCTTAATCACAGATTAGGTAAAAATTATCTGAATTTCATATATTTTTTCAATCAGTAACTACTTGCCGACTGGTATATGCAATGCTTGCACTGAAAGGCCAACCGGAATGTGTTCTTCTTTAGCGTATAGTATAGATATGAATACCGTACATCCCTAAGTATTTTTCCACTAGTTTTCACAATCACAATCATATTGTCGATTTTTTCTACACCTTAGTAAAATGTTATTTGTACAGGAGTGCATATATTTTGTCAACAACGTTGAACGAATATTTGCGCTGATTTTTCAATCAGATTCGCCGATCACACTTAAAATGAACATGATGAACAGGAAAAGTATCAGGCTGCATGTAATTGTATTGCAGACAAATAAACAAATTGTTTCTTAATGTTTTCCTGCAAGAATTAGATACTTATATATCTATACAGTGGTCAGACATGTCAGAACCCCCCCCAAATAAAAAATGATGAAAAAAACCTAGCATGTCCACAGAATCGTAATTCACTCACAAATTTGATCTAACTAGTGAAAACGATCAAAATGAATAAGTTAAAAACAAAGGTCACCAGCACCGAAAGTAAAACAAAAGTTATTTTGTCGTGAACATTCGTTAGATGATGTCTCAAGAAAGTGGTCTGACTTTTGCACGATATCCAGGTAGCGCTATTTCTACATGTAAAAATCCGAGGAAGTTAATCTTTTTCTGAAAACAAAGAATTCTCAAAGGCAGATAATTTGTGACGTGAATATTGCCACTTGACACATATTCGCTGGTAGTGTTTATGCAGGCTTAAATTGGCAATATTTGATCAAATAAGCATTTCCAGTACCATAAAACGACTGAAAGGTAGTGTTTGGTATTAGACCATAACAGTTTGAGTTGAACGAGTAAGATGATGAGTCGTATCTTTTTCTATAATATTTTTTATAATATACTTTAATAATCAAATACGAAAACGTTTATGTGGAAAAAGATGTGTTTCACTATTGTCTGAATTTTGAGATGAAACATTAGTTACAATAAAGTTGATGATATAGAACAATATCGACTCTCTAAGTATGTTAAGCCGAGACTGTATGAAGAGGTAAATAACTCCTCTTTAGACCAGGTGGTGACCCTGGACACACACCTGTCAAAGTGTTTGATATGAAAGGGACATCAGCACCTGTCAACATGCTGGATAGATACTGAGGTCTTCACCGACTGATTCGTTATTTAGTGCTGTCTCAGCTGTGATAGATTCCGTATTTTTTCATATCCGTTGTTGTCTGTAATAAATTCGTATAAATATCTATGATTTTTCACTATGTCCATCCTATAAAACTACCTTATCATAAGAGACATCGAATGTTTACACCATTCGCTAACGCCTGGGGGAAATACCGAAGGTTTCCGAAAGCTACAAAAAAAAAAAAAAAAACAGCAGCCTGGACAGGTAGCTAAACTCCCCTGTAGCCGAGCACACTTGACAACAACCGTATCGAGAGGTGAAAATCGATTCTGGGTACTACCCAGGATACATATGTCAAAGTTTAGTATGTTTCTTAATGCAAAATATTGTTGCCGGTGACCTTTAAGTAATGTCACATTTCAAACAGAACCACAACTAGTCAAATTTCGCAAATCACAGGGAAATCATATGTACATATCATCAGGGAAGACAAAGCATTGCATTAGCATTGTGGGCAACGAATATGTGAAATTTTAGGAATTAAAAGTTAGTTCACAGTTTGACATACCCATACCCGTGTTTGTCGCCATTGATAGACAGCTTTGTACATAGACATACAGAAAATGGAAAGTTTTCCCTATCGAACCAGTTCTGTTTGTAAACCGTATTTAAAGCCACGAAACTAAATGAACAAAGGCGAAACTAGGGCTTCATCGCCCATGTGTTCTTTCTTCCGTCAAATTACACCAGTTTATTTTGAAAAGAATGGAACAGTCTTTCCCTTGATAGTAAAAATGTACATGTCTGAGAAATGCGGTCTTTGTTGTGAAAATAACAGAGGGATTAAACTATAATTCGTCAAGTCTTCAGGACAATATCCTCTGCAAAGTCAGTTGGCTGGTTCAGCACAATTACCCAGGGGGACATTTAATGATGGGTGTTGAGCCATAAAGATGGCAAAATTCAATATCAACAGGAATTATCACATCATATACGTTTATACAGCATCATTTATCATGCAATTCGTCTCCCATTTCTGTCGTGTATTATTATAAAACATAGCGTTTTTATAAAACATAGCGGCACTTTACAAGTAAACATGCAAGTTTACTCAGAAAAATAATGATAAAATAACCTGCATGTGGTAAGATAAGTTCGTGAGATGGTATTGGGAAATATACACTGGCGAATAAAACCGGTATAATGAAATACAATTCGTTCTTATTTAATGTCTGTTTTAATGTCATTTATGCATTATCACGAATGAAATAGTGTGTTACGTAATTAAAATTATTATATGATTGTCTTGCTATTTGATGTATGATACCAGAGGTTTTCTATGGTACAAAGGCTTATATATTATGACGTTATAATTGGTATTTACATGCTTATAAATTGTCATGAGGTCATAATACAGACAAATGACACATATCACAATTGCCGTCAAGAAGAGTGCGGGGAAATATGTTTGTTTCACTATTTCCAAATAAAGGTTTGAGTTACAAAGGTATATAATAAAGAATTTTATACTCGTTTCGTGTCATGTCAGCCGGTTGTGTTTTTGCAGGAAATTGGCATTACTTGCAATTATAAAGCTGGCCCGGTTGTGTCCCGAGTCTTAAGTGTGGCAAGTCAGTGACCCCAACCTCAAAACGACTCTCTATACTCCTGCATATGGGCCTATATCTATCAGAATCTTTGAGTATATTGTAGAAAATATTGTCATTGCCAGGTTTCAAATTTCAAACTTGAAATAAAACGACGACAAAAAGAGAAATAAGAATCATAATAAAGAAAATTGTCCATCACCAGATTTGAACCATTGAAAAACCAATCTGTTACAGTATGCTAAAGAACATCATGGGCTGCTAGCAAGATGTACATTTATCAGCGATGTATCTGTATCGATTAGTCAGTAATTCCTACACGTGTTTGATGGTACAGTGTCCTGTAGCACTTGCATTGAATGGCAAGCATTTTAATCAATCAGTCTAAATTCCAAAATAGGATAGTCAATTGATTAAAAACTGTCTTGGAGATTCACCATTGACGAAAATATACAGACATGCTGTGATATGCGTCGGATGTCGTTTATGACATGCACACTGATTATTTCTTTTCGATATTTTGATAAGTGAATCTGACAGCTTCCAGTCTTGTGCATGCTCATTGCATCAATTGCTAATCTCACTGTCAACAGAGAAAATGACATTAAACTTTCTTCCAGAAATCGTGTTTGACCATTACTGTCTTCATCTTATCGTCAGTGTTTGTACTTATTTAATTAAAAACATGGGTATGTCTAAAGAAGTTTCAATTATATCCAATGAAATCCTTAAATACACGAACCCAAAGTTGAAATCCATTTATTGAATATAGAAGACTGACATACTTATACAGCCCGGGTTACCACAAGACGAATTCCCGGCTTGGGTGTTCAATGTGGGTGTTCATGGGAGGTTGCGATAGGTTTATCTGAGCCGCCTTGGATTGTGCGAAACTGAAGCCGAAGTTTTGTTACCACACTGAAATAAACTGTCAAAGGCCTACAGAAGCATTCCACCCAATCACTTTATACTGACAATGGGTGAACCAGTCGTAATCCCATCATGATGCAGAAAGTTAAGTAGAGATCAACCACGAAGGCGATGAACTATACTATAACATACGTCCTCCTTGACTGTAGAACACTTTACGTGTAAACGTCGTACCTTGTGACGTACTGTAGAGCCCATAAATGGGATGCAGGTGTTAGGGGTTTGTGTTGATGTTGTGCCCTAACCCAGTTTATTTAATACTTGACGACTTCAAAATAATTTTAAAACATTTGCACTCCGGAACTTTGCTATACTTTATGATGAATTCAAACGACATGTGAAGCTACGACGGAGATGGAACAAATATTTTAATGTCCATTAGAATGTAACTTATCAAAGAATATGATCCTCCTAAGAAATTTTGGAATAAATCGAGAAAAATACAACTGAAATATTGTCGATGTATGTAATGCATTTTCTATTTCAGTGTCACTTTGTGTGGGAGAGGCTAAAAGTCAGAGATTACTAGGTAGCTGGGGGGAGTGGTCATCATGGTCAAAATGTTCGGTCACCTGCGGTTATGGGACGTCCAGTCGACACAAGGAATGGCGAGAGCCGGACCGGAAGGACAAATTTCCCTTCTATGACATCATAGAATGTTGGTCAGCTGTCGAGTGTCCGGGTAAGACAAACATGGACATTTTATTTAGTTTGTATTTCTGGATACGATAATGTAAGGAAAATCACTGATTACATCTAACATCAGCTGATATTTACAGAGCTTACAATGGTTAAAAACTGCTTTGACAAAATCTTTCCAGGTTCTAGAAAAAGATATAAATTAAAGTACAATATGTAGAAATGTCTATCGAATGCCAGTTTCTGTGGCTGATATAATGTGGAACAAAATAAGTAAGGTTGTAATTTTCATTGCTCTTCGCGGTAACACATTGTTTGGTATCCAACAGGAAATTTAAGCCTCTACATGATCTCCACAGTTCCAATTGAGGCTATTGTAAAGATCTTTTCATATATTTGTCAACATATGTCACAGTAATCATGTTAAATACTGATATGTCATGTGACCAGTACACGGTCGTTGGAGCATATGGCAGGAGTGGACGCCGTGCCCAGTCATGTGTAATGGTGGGGTACAAAGGCGGGAACGACAGTGCAATGAACCAGAACCAAAACACGGCGGAAACATGTGTTACGGTGCCAAGTGGGAAGGAAAAGAGTGTGGAATGCAAACATGTCCAGGTGAGTTACATCGAGATAGAAAATATCAGGGTTAATTACATCGATATAGAAAATATCAGGGATAATTACATCGACATAGAAAATGTATAGGTAAATTACATCGGTATAGGAAAGAATTCGGAAATATATTTAAATTGTTTTATCTACTATTCTCACTTCGAATAAAACTCTCTTCTTATCCTACCTGCTTAACACAAACCAAAGCAAATATTAACCGATATTTCGATGTAACTTTTTAGTCTAGCAATAACAATATTGTAAAAAGACACGCAAGTGAATAGCACCTTTAAATACAAATTTAGAGTTAGATGCAACTGAGCCAAACATTCATCATACAGCTGTTTTATCAATGATGCAAAGAGCCTAGATTTTGTGGCCTTGGCAACAACTGAGCAAAATCAAAATTGATCGAAAGAAAAAAAATATTAATAAAACAAGATGGAGAACTGCACTATGATTCAATAAATTTCGTAATTTTCAAAGAACGTAGCACTGAATATATGCATGTAGAGCTAAGACGCCATTACAATATCAATCTTTACAGAGTCTGAACATGACATTGTGTTAACGACAACAAAACTGTTTACCAGACAGTGAAAAATCCTCATCACCGTTTGCACTAAAATATTTTGACATATTGTTGTGATCCCGTTTGTTTCCAACATGCTACTCACAAGTTAAAGATAGTTGTCTCGTATCTTGAGTATATGTATGGTAATGGATATTGGAATGGTTAAATACATGACAAACAAATATTGTCGTCTTCTCACAGTTATTCCCGCCAATTTTACCATGGCATCCTGTAACCACACGTCATTTATCTGCGACAGTCGCCATCACTGTGTGCCTGGAGACCAGCGTTGTGATGGTGTCCTGCAGTGTCATGACGGATCAGACGAACGGAAGTGTTTCAGCTACGTCTATAGATGGAATGGTAAGACAAATCCAATAGATAGGTTTAACATTGTCTGTTTTTTGTTTGAGAATGCAGGTGGTAGACTCTCGTGATTTACGTCAGTCCTCAAGGTTTGCAATGATTATGATTGACACCATTAATTGCATTGGTAACACAAGACTTATGGAATCGGGAGAAATTTCACTCAGATTGAAAATCAATATCTCATGATTTCGAATAAAAAAAAAGTAAATAAAAAAATTGTGATCTACGGGATACTTTTAAAGTATTTTTTCTTAATGTTTATTAAGTGATCATTGCGTTTAACGAACGCGTCTTTTAGGAACACATTCCACAATGCAATGTGATCGGATGTTTGTAAGTTACTTTATTTCCTAACAGTCCTCAACGTAACCAATATCCTGCCAATTGGTGCAATGCCTTTGATATTACAACAAATGGTTTCCCTGGAGGACTTCAGATTATGCAGTGTTAACAATACGGCTTTCTTTAAACTCCTATAGTCCTATCAAATAGAAGGATTCCCTCGTGTTCAGTTTTGGTCACAAAATTAAATCTTGACATAAAATTTTATATTTGTCTTTCAGGGGTTCGATCATCGGGCGAAGTGCTGATTGGAAATATCCAGCATCTCCTATTTGCACTTGTTTTGATCTTTCTTGTTACTTCTAATACCATATGACATGAGGGCATTCTTACTCAACCGTGATACAAACAATGCAAAATGGAGAACCCGGATGTTTTAATGGCTGTGATTATCGGTGGTGCCTCTCCGAGTTCGAACCAACGAAGCTACATGTCACGAGTATTTTTGACGTTCGCATATGAACGACAGATTTATTGTGAAACGTGACATAGTTATGCAGTTGTTTGAAGACAATCTCTATACACTGAAAATTGTTAGATGTGATATCGTTTATTCGCTATTTTCATAGTTCGTGTTTGATCTTTTGTCTCAAAGTATGAGTGTGATAAAAATTTTAAAAGTAAGATAAAAGTCATGATTTCTTCAAAATCAAAGTTCACTAGCATTCTAATTAATGTTTCAAATTTTACCATCAATTACATTAATTGTATATAAAGCAATTTTGCATTACTCAAAGAATATTGAGATATTTTGGTCTATAAAATCAACGGATATGAATGGCAATGGAATGACTGAAGAAACCTCGATTATTGTTAAATGTTAAATGCAATATGTTTGAAGTATAATACAAAAATCATCTAGTGACACTGGGAAATAATAATGTATGACATGTTAGATGGATTTGAAAGGCATATCAAGACGAGATGAAATAGTAGAACCATCAATGGGTAATGTTTTCTGCCATTGGCTGAATGTTACAACATTTTTAATGTTTTCACCAGCACTTAAGAAAATGCACGTGGAAAATTTGAATATCATATGTTACTTACTAAATAAGATACAAACAAATACAGTAAAATCAGTGAGAATCACGTGCACAGTATTGACATACATTCCAAGGACACGCAATTAGTGTGAAGTCGATTGGTCATGTCGATAGTTTACAGTTATTAACGACTGTGCAGGAACAAACTCACGATATATATTTACGGACTAAAAGAAAATGATTAGACTGAATGTAGGACTATGATCTCTATATTTGTTTACCTTGTATGTATATATCTATTGCTGTAAAATTCGTGATTTTAAAATTGGCAGTGTAAACTTCAGGTTTGATACAGATAAATACCAAATACTATAAACAAGGACAATTTTCTGTTGACCTTCACCTCGACGTATTAGTGTCTCTGGTACAAAATCCGCACGTGAAGGCGATGAAGGTAGATGTTATTACAGTAATTAAGCCCCGGGAGAGTCTCGCCATTCTGACACCAAGTCTGCCTGGGTTTGGATGATAATTGGCCAGTGGGAGCTTGAAACAAATGGTTCAGGTAGTAACCGTTCGTGTTGAAGCTATATCAGATAATATTGACACTTAACTTATCCAAAGCATCAGATAAATAGTGTAAATATTCAAAGACATATAAGATACATGTGTTGTAGATAAAAAAACTGCGAGTCAGTCCTATTCCATGCGGGTGAGATTGTTTCCATGCAAGCGTCAAAGTAAAATGTTACTAAAGGAAAAGTATGGTATACATCTTGGGTGTAAGTGAACATTTCTCCAATCATGGAAACGTTCTATTAAAGATAATTTGGCGGCCATATTGAAACGTGTTATTAGGGTGGTACTATACAGTACATGATGATAGGGATATCTAACATGTGTTTCTGTTGGTTAAGACAAGAGGACGATATAGCATGATTCAATCCCATTCCTTGTTAAACATTCCAAGTAAAACTAGATATACTATAATATTATAATTTCACAGTGACGAACTATCCTGTCGCCATATTGTGTTTTTGTCTGTAGGCTTTGTTTCGCTTTAGGTCAAGTGAAAAAGCAGAGTAAAATTGGCAAGAAAACTCTTTCATAAATTCAGTGCGTTTATTTAACATTTTATCATCATGAGAACTGTTAGTCATGCAGTATCGTATCTCCTTTTTAAATATTGTAATATTCCGCAATACATCAGAAGTGTTTACGTTTTCAAAATTTGTAAAAAAATATATGACATTATATGTTTTAATGTTCCATTGTATTTTGTTTTCGATTTCAGTTCTGACTATGATATTTATAAGCCGTAATACGGTTTTACGGTTAAGCTCATACACCTAACTAAATCAACCAATCACAATCTGTGTTGATGTCATCATTTGCATCCAAGGTCTGAATCTGATAGCTGGTGATTTAGAATTTTATGCGTTGCCAAACCTACTGTTGAGGCTTGTTGGTATAAAAAGGCAATTTATGTGGATTTAAACAGTTTTATATCAAACCTTTTTTCGTTTTGTTTTTATTTCATTTTGAGTGATTTAAAAATATTTTATTGTCAAAAAACAAGCAAAAGGATTGGACACAAGTTATTACATCATTATTTTAGTCGTCTCCACGAAATATAACAAACAAAACATAATGGTAAAAAACAAGAAAGAGGAGTCACGAATTAAGTTTCCTGCAAGTTTCGTAGTAAGATTGTTCGCTTTATTCATAGAGGTAAGATTGATACAAAGGATAGCGTTCAGTCCATAATGGCAATAGATTTGATCCAGAAAACATTCTAATAACAATAATTATCATAATGGCAATATATTTTGCCGGTAAATGATATAATCCCCATTGTTTACCGTCGTTAGGGAGAGTGTATATGTGATTATATGTTGGTAATTTTACGCAGGATGTGAATGAGCCAAATTTTAAACACATAATGTGTTCAAGAAAGAAATAGTATTTTGACACTTCTTGCTCTCTGTGACACAATAAATGAGCATAAATGAGCTCATAATTCCGAGCATACACTTTACTTTACATTGCCAAATACTTAAGGGAAAACATTTGAAGTGACTGATGAAAATATTGATAAAGTTAAAGTAAATATGCGATAAAGATAATTTTTCTGATTCCCTGAGATTACAGCAAAGAATTTGTAAAAAAATCTATCTAGAGAAGAATAGCACATTTAAAAACAACAAAAGAAGTACCGACATGTAAACAAATCTTACCTCAAACACAAAAATCGAGGATTTTTCGTCGATGTCAAAAACATTTCATGTTTCTTTACGCCCAATTTTCGTCTCGCCCGGCTGGAGCGGTAAGGTACTTCTGACATACTCATGAGATTTATTGGTTAGATTTCAGATCAGTAAAACACAGATGGAAGGCTTTATAGTATAACCCCTTTACAGGACACGTATTCAAGCAAGTATGTTTTCCTGGACCAGTTATGTAATCCTTATCACAAAAAAACACCTGTTCAAAACAAAGCAGAAGCATCGGGTTAACATTAAAATAAAATACAAGATTACATGATCATCCGAGGGACAGTCTTCGTCAGGAAATAGAATTGTGCTGGTGAAATAAAAACAACGCAAAACCAACAACATGAACTCCTAACAGTTGTAATCAACAAGGTATTGCAAAATTCCTTCTGAAGATTCCAGAAGCTGGTAATAACTCTTAGGTGTTGTGAACATTGATCAGTTAAATGTTCGCTATAGATATATAAAATAACCAAAAAACAAAATATACCAAGGTGCGTTATTTACTGGATAAAATTGGAGATTTATCTCATTCACATCAGATTGGTGACATGAGTGTAGAGAATCTTTGACGATGTGAAAATGAAAAAGTTCGTGACGAGTTTCATAAGCCTCATTTAGATAGACAAAAATGTTAGAATTCCATTCACTTGGATAAGATCGTATAGTTTGTGAAAATAGTACGTCACACACGAACTCCAAATGTTCTTCCTTTATATCACTTTCCTTTGTGACATCACAAGAGATAAGACGTTATAAAATACGTCGTCACAGTGGAACTAATGGGAACCGCCAGTCTATCACAACTCCGGAATGTTATGTAACACTTGTATCATTTGTAAGAAAACTTCAATGTAGTCGTTGTCATTACGCTGTTAAATTCAGTGATGTGATAACAAGCTATCTCAGCCACTTCATTTTCTTTAAATTTCAATTTTTGTCAAGCAAAACTATTTTTATTACATTAAAAGCGTTTGATATCTTTTAAACCGTATTTTGCAGACATCTGTTTCATTATACCCTAAGAGTGCAGAGGCACCAGTCAGGCAATCGACTCCTCTGTTAAAGTGTACAACGACATACCTCTGGATGTTCGGTAGCACGGCCGGAGGTGATTTAACGCTCTACCTACATAATTAATAAGCCATGCATGAAGACTCAGACCGTCACTACGTTTACCGGTAACAGACAATGGAGATTTCCTACTGGATTACTACATAATTAATAAGCCATGCATGAAGACTCGTCTCAGTCCGTCACTACCGGTAACAGACAAGACAATTGAGATTTCCTACTGGATTCGTCAATAACTGGAATACCTGACTAAATGTTACACATGTTTTTAGAGAATTTCAACGAACGCAATCTGTGTGGAGTATATAGTTCGAGTCTATGGGTAAACCATTGGAGTTAAATTATAAAGGTCCTCGCCACTGAAGCAGTAGAAGGCGAGGAAATGCTCTTCGCTGGTACTGTTGGAACTCGCCATCACTAATTTTGAACAGAAATGTATTTGTAATATTAGTACAAAGAGCGATCATATGCACACCAAGAACATTATCTGTTAGACAAAACATATCTAGACTTAGGTTTGTGTAATCAAAAATCTTTATCATAAGTTAGTCCTGTAATAGTTTCACAACATTTTAGCGTCCAGTATTTTACGTAATGTTACAGGTAGCTTATGATACAAAAACAATGACCCAATTTTCCAACTTCATAACACAATTCCCTTTCATAAGTGACCTGATCCAGCAAGAGTCATTATCGAATTATCTTTCATTTAGCTTTTCAAAATCTTTGGATGGCAGTTTCAAGTGAAGAGTTTAAATCAGCGCTCTTCAGATACTTACGGTGTTATAGGACTTTTTCCCTGTGCAATAGATTTCCGTGTAGCCAGTTATTTTCGCTATTTCGCGGTACATTAACGTGTTCGCGAAAGTATAATCCGTAAATCAAGATGTCCATTTCTTTAAGATTGCAAACATTTTTATTTGTTTAAATATTATTTGACGTTTAAAAAAATTCACGAAAAGTTTGAAAATAACCAGCTATAT